TTTCTTGTGTTTCTCTGTGTCAGGAAAATGAAGATGACAAAACTGTTTCAGATCTTGCAGTGGTATTGTTTGAAACTGCAACTCTGAGATCAGGATATATGTTGCCAGACACTAAGGAATATGGAGACAGAATAGAAAGGATGCTTCGTTTGAGTTTAAACATTGACCTGGATGCAAAGGTTAGTTTGTCTTCCACTTGGGCTGATAATTGACTTACTGTTGCTTCATCTTAAAAACTGCAGCTGCTATTCACTTGCATAAAATGAAGTGTATCCAGCTTCCTGCACTTAAGTGGGCTACCAAAAGTCCAGCCATGAGTCTATACTTAATACTCATATTCTTCATTCCTTGCTCTTCTTTGTAGTTGCTTGAGATTCTATTTCATTATGCTTCTCAAGTATATTCCTGTTCTTAATTAAGTGCTGGCTCTAGGAGTAAACTGAGTACACAGGCCTTTGGCCCCTGTCTCTCAAATGGAGAAATTCCTAACTGGGTACAAGTAATGCAGGTTCTCATAATCTTTTGCAAGAACTTCTGCTGGCTGTTTTGCTGCAGTGGATCAGTGCTACACAGATCGTACTTTTTCCTTCAGGTAGCTTGTGGCAAATGTTAGGAAATGATAGTGAAAACTTCCACAGCCTGTATTTAGCTAGTGCACAATTAGTTAAACAGCCTAAGCAAGTAAAGCAAATTGCTTGTGACCTTTGTGTACAGGTGGATGAGGAACCTGAAGAGCCTGAAGATGCAGCTGAGGAGGCAGAGCAGGATGAAGAGGAAGTGGATGCTGATGCTGAGGACAGTGAAACACAGAAGGTAGGGTCTCAAGTTTGAAGCTTTCTAGACAATATTCATGTGCAACTTTGTCTGTAGGTGCTTCCTGGCAATAAAGTTGTTCATTTTGCCTTTCATGACACTAGATTTTAGTGTTAGATGATCCAGGCTTTTCTTGGAGGGGGGAGGGACAAAATTGCAGTACAAATTTATTATTAAACTGTATTGTGAAAACATGACACTGAAGTATGTTCAAAGCTGGAGTGAAATTAAGCCTTAGAGATTGTAACAGTGCCCTGTGGCTAGAAAATGGCAGCAAATACTCTAGTGAAGATAATTACCTGTGGTATTTCCATAGCTTGTGGGCAAAAACATGAACAAAATCAGCCAGAGTGCAATTTTAGATGCTTATAATACAGGCTTGGAACAGCACTCTAGACTACAACATTGCTCCTGAACAGTTCACCTGTCATGTGAAGTCAGCTCTTATCTGCAGTTTTAATTATGTCTTGATGGATATGCTGAACTCTTCTAATACCATAGCTTTTTGATAATACTAACTTGGAAAGCTGTTTTGAGGTCCCAGCTGGGCCTGCTTTCTTGAGTTGCTTTTGGAAGAGACCTGCAAGATGATATCCAGTGATTAGTGCAAATATTGTAGCAATGTAATTTCCTACTGTTAAATGTCAGATAAGAATAGATTTGAGAAACAGTATTTACTGTACTGAACCTACTTAATTTTGATGCCACTACTGTTAGGTTTGCAGAGCAGTATAACCTGAAATGACAGTAATATAAATTTCTGTTGTTCTGGGAGTTCTTGTAACTTTTTTCCGCTTTCAAAAAGTAATATTCTGATTCTCTTTCTGTCTTCACAGGAATCCACAGATGTGAAAGATGAACTGTAAACTGCACTCAACTACTGTCCTGCATTGGGGGGTTAAGAGGGAATGTGAATTAGATTGTTTTGTTTTTTTCCACTGTAAAATGTTGAGGGATGGGGTTTTAAGGGTAAAGGAGGTTTTTTTTTTAAGTTCACTTTTCTAAAAACATTCCTCATGAATGTAAATTTGTATTATTTAACTGACTTGGTGTAAAATCTTGTCATGTACAAAATAAAATGTTCCCAAACACCACCAACTCCAAATTTATACATAGCAAGCTCATCATGTGAGCTGGCAGAAAGAAATGAAGGTATGGTCCTGGGTCTTTGGATCCTTTGTGCAAACAGGCTCTTTGTTGGTAGTCCTTGAGCCTTCCCATGCTGGCACAGCCATACATACTTGTGTAGCATCTGCCTGTGGCTGGGATCTATGTTTACAGACCTGTTGTGCTGCTTAGCCAAATACACCTGATAGCTGACAGCTGTACTGAACTTGCTAATTGAAATAAGTGTTTGAGTGAGTGAGGCATCTCCTGCAAACCTGAGAAAGAGGAGATAGGGTCCTTAAAAATGGCATTGGAAGCAAAACTCTGGGAGCTTGTGTTGGACTCTGTGACTTGACTCCATAGAATAGACAGCAGGAACTTTATGGATGAGGGCGAAAAAAACATTTCCTTTCACTAAATATGTGGACAGCTACCACCAGAGCTGTCTTACTGCCTGTGAGCTAGTACCATCATCTGTGCCACTTAGAAACCCTGCCTTTGTCTTGTGTAGCTACAGCAGTTCTGTTTTCTATAAGTTGGAAGTTCTTTTCACATATTCTTAATGCTGTTATTCCTAAATGTTTTCAGTTTTTCTTAGTCTTTTATGGCAAAGCACTGTAGATACTTAATATGACTGAAGCTAAACCTGGTTACTTGTAGACAGGTTGAGCATCCATTCATTCTGTTGGCTTTATGTAGTGGCTGGATGAAGCACTGTGTTTTCTCACTAGTGCCTCTACTTGAAAACACCTTCACAGAGTTGGTAAAAAGTGTTTACAGTGAGAGTTTTGCAGATTTTTTTTTTTTTTGCCTTCATCTGTGGAAGGACATAGTAACAGTGCTTCTGCACAGTGATACTATTTAAGAACCAATCTTCTGTTTTGTTAACAGAACTTCTGTGAAGTTACAAGTTTCTGCACTCTGAAGCAAAATAAGCTTTCTTATTAGGTCAGGGCACTGAACACTGACCTGAAGATCTTGCTTTCCATTTACAAGGCTTCTATATTATGACCCAAAATATGCCATGTATTAGTGTGGTTGTTGTGTTAGGGTTTAGAGAGTTGAATTTTGACCTGTCAAGGAAAGGAAGCTTAGTTTGAGAGGTTCTCAAGGGAGTTTGGGGGCTGTGGTTTCTGCTCACTGCAGTGGTATCCCAGAGACGAGTCTCTTGTTACTGGCCCAGGCTGAGTGGTCTCATGCCAGTCTTGGCAGCTGGCACTGTCAGCTTTAGAAGCAGCCTTTGGCAGTAAGTTACTGAACAGGGCAGGGACACCTTCCCCCTAGTGTAGCAGTGAAACTTTGTGCTCTGTAGCAATCAACCTCCTAAAGTATCAGTTGTTTTCAGTGATACATTTCTGAGTGTATCATTACTACCCACACCTCCGTTTGACCTCTGAGAAGCAAAGATCCCTTGAGGGTGACAAAACTGATTAAATTTCAGAAATAAAAAAGAGCAGACTTGAGAGTTATGCTTTGTGCTTCTTCATATATCTCAGCTGAGAGTATCATGTGCAACATAGCTTTGGGTCCAGCTGCTTTCTCTGCATCATGCAGTGACAAGTGTTTGCTATTAATAAGCACAAAATGCACTTGTAAGTTTACCTGTTCTTTTGTCAGCTCTGAAGCAAAATGGTGTCAATAATGGAAGTGTCTCCCAGTCAGAACTGTTTCTTTCAGTGCTGCAGTTACACTGATTCTGAGGCTGTCTCCTCTGCTGTTAAAACTTGGTGCATTAGCAGCTTTGCTATTCCTAAATGGGCACTAATGAGGACATTTCCCTCAGCACTAGAAAAGGCTGAGCTTCCTGTTGCTCAGTTTCCAGTAGCAGCAGGATACAGTTAGAAATGCAATTTGTAGACACTTCCCTCTGCAGCCTTTAGATCTGAAAAACCTCTAGAAAATAGCAATGTATCTTTCATGTCAGAAATCAACAACATAAGAGGTGATAATCTGACAAAGTGTGAGTAACAGTGCATGGGCTGGTGAATGCTGACTCGTTAAAGGATCATCAAAAAACTGTTCCTGCCTCAGTTAGAACAGAAACAAAATACTGACTGTCCTGTTTTCTCTTCACTGAACTTTATCTTCTGCTGAAGTGGAAGGCTGGAATTGGATTCGTTGCCAATCTCAGTTTTGTTTAGGTGCAGCAAAGTCTCTTCACCAGAAGTGGATCTATTAAGATGATTTCATTGATAGACTTTGGTTGGACTTAACATTTCTCTTTTACCAGAGCCTCTCTCTCAATTCCTGTTGTCATTGATAAAGGTGCCTGAGAGAGAGGATGTGATCTAGTTACATAAAAAGTGCACACAAGAGCAGGAGAGGAGCTCATCCCACCAACAGCTGTAAAGCTTTGTGAGAGCAGACACATACACATGCACAAGAACTATAAACCTTTCTTTCTAGGAAAACCAGTCCAGTTTATGCAGGCATAAGTAAAATAATAGCTTCATAGTTGGAGCTGATGTAAATGTAGCACTTTCACTGATCATTTCTGGATCCCTCTGCCCTTACAAGATTTCCAGATACTTCAGTAGTGGGAGTTTGGGAGCTTTTTGTTTCCTTACTGGGTAGTGTGTCAGACTCTTTTTTATGAATTAAACTTAAATGACAGCTAAGGATGAAGCCTGTGCTTTGTCCTGGCATCTTTCTGAAGGGAAACTAATCCCAACCTTCCCAAGCTCTATATTGTACCATTTAGAACTGGATTATTGAGCCATCTTCACAGGATGGTGACTACGTTTTCAAGCTCCTGGTGTGTTGTGGTGATTCTATTTCCAGACTAAAAAGGTAAACCTGCACTTGTTGTTTCAGAGTTTTGCATATTTACAGCTATCAAAAGCAGCCATAGACAGATGGAGATGCCCTAATGGAGCACAAACAAATCTGATTTCAGTGTAATCTGTATGTATTTGCCTCATTTTAACTGAGATCACCAAGCTGTAAGATTCCTGCCTTACAGTGGACCAAAGCAGATTTCCTGTCAGTGACACCTCTGTGTCATGGTTTGACACTTTATTCTGAAGGTTACTTAAAATGTAATCCAGATTTCAGAACTCACAAGCATTTTGACACACAACTGATGGGACTTTTACCAAAAGCATTCACTGTATTTTTATTTTTAATGCTGCCCACAATTCTGAGTAAAGGAAAGCAAAAATCCATTACAGGAGCACAGTATTTCACATATGTATTTCTGCAACTTAAAAAGTTGGATAAATATTTTATCAGTTCTAATTTTCACAATGAAAATAAACTCTGGTCACTGTTGTGAAGTCTGAATTTCGCTTGATCTTTCTTTTAGACCCAACAGTTCTGTTTTCAGTTCTCCAGGCTTAGGAGGTATTTCAGGTATGCTCTATTAAAAACAGAAAAAGATGTCAGTTTGAGACAGAGGAAAAACTAAACTCCCAAAACAGTAAATGAGCTTATTCTGGAAGAGCATGACAGCTAAACTGTGATTTTACCACCCTCTTTTCTGAGTGGAACAGAATTCCTACAAGCAAAATTCACCTTAAGAATTATTACCTTTTTGTAATTTGACTTATTTTAAAGTAGCAAAATACAATTTGAAAAAAAAAAAAATAGATGAAAGTAAGAACAAACGGTTTGTTTTAAAGGAGCAAAGCCTCTTTTTGCATTAAAGTGAGTTTGGTGGAGATGTTCTAGCACAGTTGAAGTTTCCACACATACTCTTGCTGATAGAAGAAAATGTTTCATTGCTTCTACTGCCCTGATCCAGAAATTAAGCACTGAAACTGGAGATAAAATTTTAAAAGGTACCAGATAACGTGATATTTAAAGAACTGAAGTTCCTCAAAATTTGTGCTACTGAAGAGATACAGATAATTTGATCATTCTGAATAAATGCATAAATAGACAAAACACATAAATTCTAATGCATCTATCAATGACTGAAGCCTCATAGATTGAATTTTGAGCTGACAGCTCAAGCATGGTAATTTTTTAAAACTTATTTCCCGTTTTAAAGTAGCCAAGAGAATTTAAAAAACCAAGAAGTATATATGAGCAAGAGGATGAGAGAAAGCTTCCAAGTCAGGCCTCCAAGAGGCTGAAAAAACACATTATTATCCCTAGTGGATGGTCTCATTTAGAGTTTAGTTCTATGACTAATTTTGACTGCCGTGTCTGTCGTGATTTCTGACGTCATCTTTCGGTTGCCCTCATTTCCGTTCCTGGAGGAAACCGAGTCTATTTAAATCCAGTACAGCCCCTTCTCACTACTTTTCCAGGCTCATTTCAAAACCCAGCTTCCCCCAGCAGAGACCCCTTCTGGACACAAGGTACTACTGCCGGAGTGGAGGCGACTCTCCAGAGAAGCCACAGAACCGCAGAATTGTTAGCTGGAAGGGACCTCAGGAGATCATCTGGCCCAAGCTCCCTGCCAAGCAGGGTCACCTAGAGCAGATCACACAGGAACGCGTTCAGGTGGGTTTGGAATGAGAGAGGGAAGACTCCATGACTTCCCTGGGCAGCCTGTTCCAGTGCTCTGCCACCCTCAATGGAAAGAAGTTCCTCATGTTGAGGTGAAACTTCTTGTGGTTTAGTTTATGGCTTTTGCTCCTCATCCTGTCGCTAAGCACCACCAAAAAGAGTCTGGAACCATCCTCTTGGCACCCACTGCTTAGGTATTTACAGGCATTAATGAGATCCCCTCCAGTCGTCTCTCCCAAGAGATGCTGCAGACCCTGCATCATCTTCGTGACCCTCCACTGGACCCGCTCCAGTAGTTCCTTGTCTTTCTTGTACTGAGAAGCCCAGAACAGGACACAGCGAAGTCCTGGCGGCCTGACCGATGCCTCTGTAGAGGCCGATCTCGGTCCACCGCCAGCCCCAGAAACACAGCCTTTCCGAGGCACAGCCTCTGCAGCAGACCCTCCATCCCGCACACACGCTACCAGCGACCGGGACCCTCCGAGCACTTACAAGGTCAGGCCTGTAGTACCTGTGCACGACCTCGGCCCCCGCGAACATGGCCAGCATGCTGCCCGCCAGCGCCCGCAGGTAGGTGGACCAGGACACGCCGGCGGGCATTGCTCCGGGGGCGGGCCCTGTGCACCGAC